AGGAATCCAATCTCGACTCAACCATTAGTTTGTCCTAAGGGATGAGACGTTAATCACGCTAGCAGCATGTAGATTGTTAGTTGTGGTGCGGATTCCTTTTGATATTGGTAAATTTCATGCTGACAACGAAACCTGTGTGAAGTAATGCCGGTTGAATGACCAAAAGAATGACTTTCGGGCCAATAAGAGTTTGAATCACGTGATTGTTCCCTTTCGGTTAGCAAAAACATTCAAGGACGGGGGAGGAAACCTCCTGCCAATCAGGGCGAGGGAATTTCAATGGCCGGAAGGAATCCCTTCCGGCCATGGGGACTGAACAGTCTTAATGACGGGAGGGAATCCCCCCCCCCCCCGGCCAGTGGGAGGGAAGCAACTCTCAAACCTCCCACTTGCCAAGGAGGGTTTTGGGCGCCGACTCCCACCCAAAAAAATAAAAATAATAAAAATAAAATAAAATTGAATTGGGAGGTCAACTCCCAATCCCCCAGGGGGAATTGGAAAGATGACTCCCGTCCGACAACCCCTTGACCAAAATGGGAGTTGACGTAGAATTTTTGGGAGTTGTTCTATCTGACATTTTATTTAGTAATTTTTGCTGGACCCGTCAACTTGATTTTTCTGTGTGCTCACAGGTCCCTGGCAAAATTTCCTTTGAGTTTTTATACTAAAAATTCATAGGGATTTTGGAACATCATACTTACAAGAGAGTCAGACCACAACTCAAGCTGGAGTTGATTTTTATATTTCAGTGCACCTTTTCCCAAAGATAGCTTACTTACATAGCAAACAATTCTACTTGGTAATCACAGGGGTCATAAAGTCACCCTCAAAACCTTACTGCATATAAACCAGAAAAGAAAATGTTTTAAATCATGAAAACAAACTCAAGGGCCAAGCAGTCTTCCCCTAAAGAGAGTTGTTAGGGCAATGTCTTTCAACCAATTTCCTATGAAAACCAGCATATATGTATGAGTGCCTCTCAAGATCAAGTTTCCCATTTTTATAAGGGTCTGTCATCCTATTGCAGTTCCTCCACCAGGAAAAATCTATGCTCACTAGATGTCAAGTGACATCATGTAACATTGATTGCTGCTCCCATGTAGCTCTAAATCTGTTGTGACCCAACAACAATGGCCCCTTTGTGTGCTACAGGGGGCTGAGGTAGAGTTGAGCTGGATATGTAATGGGTAGTACACTGGAGTTAGCTTGATTTCACTTGTCATCAAGTGTTCATTGATTGGAGGACTTCCCGTCGCCTAAAATTGTAAATTTAGAAGGAAGGGCTAAAGCTTATTGGCTGGTGAAAATTATTTGACCTCAAGATTTCCCCCGCAAACAAAGTTTAGCCGGTCTGTCTAAAATTAGCCACCTGGTTGACGGGAAGTCCTCCATTTTTCCTAGTGCTCCTGGCAAAAATACATTGGGCTATTTTGTGAAAGCTTGCACAGGACCCAGGAGACCTCCTATATTAAAGGAGGGACTTGCAACTAATCAGACATGTCTGGCACATGAAGTATATTGTATTCTGTTGATATTCACTTTTTTATACTTATCACTGCTTTACTCCTCCCACAATCAGCTATGATGAATCTGTTCTTAGAAAGGGAAACTGCTGCATCTTGAGCTTATTCAGATATAACTTCAGAGGTTTAGGCCCATTCCTTTGTCCCCGATTTCAAGGATAAAGATAGAGAAATCACTATGCCAGAGCCGCCATGACCATGGGATTACGCTTTGATGTGTCACTCCGGATGCAAGAATAGCTTTCTACCCGGATTCTTTTGTTTTCAAAGGTACATAGACAGATTGCAAGTTATGGTAGAAAAGAAAACGCAGCACTGTAGCTGGCCAGTGACATCCACCACGCAGAATGGGGGGATGTGTGAGGAGGACACCAAAAACAGTTCAGAATGGATACCTCCCGCGCCAAAGTCGGCCGGGGACAAGTCCCTCCGATGAGGTCGCAAACGACCTCCTTGGAGGGACTTGTGTTAAGTTCGCAGCAGATCAAACTGTCGTCGTCGACTCCACCCAAAAAACGAAAAAGTGTGACTTGGGTTGACCGTCAACACTTCCCAACTTCCCACTCGCGGAGCTGGCGATAAGCAAGCTTTGGAGGCGAAAAAAAATCGTGTGAAAAGTGTGGAAAAGCGCAATCTTTCCCAAAATGAATACTGTGACATGTCAGAGCATGGGACAAAGCCTTTGCTCCATGCAAGCGTGTACATAAAGAAGACTCGCTCTAGTTTGACAAAGCGGGTAACGGCGCGGACGCACAGTCTACCAGAGTCTGGCAAGCTCTGCCGGGCGGTGCTTGTATTCACGTACACCTGTTTGTGTACATAGCTCCCGCCAGCCGAGGACTGCCGAGGATGCCGGCCGCACCTTAACGTGTTTATCCTGTCTCTCCCGTTGGAACGTCATCTGGAGAATCTGAATGAATAATCCCAGACTTTTGTCTGTGACGTGTTGGCCTGCGAGTGGTTTTAACCACGGTAGGCGCGTGTCCTCAACTCCTGTACGGCTATGCCCCGCCGAATGTGCCGAAGGGGTGAATGGCCCGCTGTCTTGACCTGAGATTTTTGCACTGCCTGAAGAGAGTACATGAATATGTACGAGGCATGGTGTGTGAACAGGACCGTTCCTGGGTGAGCCAGTCCGCAAGGTTGCTCGGGTGTTAAGCAAGCGTTGTAACTGCAAGGACGGCCTTCGTGGACATTGCCGAAGTCTTCTGGTTGCCGAATCTATGTACCATGGAGCCTGCAAAACCAATTCAAGAAAGTCAACCAAAACGTCGTAGATATCGTAGGTTGCATTGACCCGGCAAGGCTATTATCATGTTGAAATCGGTAGGACTGACTGTTCGGTTCACTCCGTCTGACCAGGCATCCCTCGCAGTTGTGATCGATGCCGGAGCAGCAAATTGAAATGCGTCTTTGAGGTAAGTCCATTTCCTTGCTGGTTCACGAGATGAACTGGCCGTGACGACCAATGATTACCGTTGCTTTCTGCGATGACAAGAATGGCCAATGTCATGCTTGTTTCAAAGCTGGTGTAAACTGTACGTTTGCCAACCCAGGCAGTCTAAAGGAGAGGCCGCCTACATTCAAGTACGTCTTTTCTGATTTTGTTCTACAATCGTTTGGTTTAATATAGATGAATTATTGATCAGAGGTATTCTTGCATCGCCAAATTTACAGAGACGCCGAGCAACTTAATGCACGAATTAGATCTCTGGAGCGACTCCTCCAGGCAGTGGACCCAACAATTGACATGAATCACTTGCCTGACCCAGATCTTCTTGTTTGCCGCTCCAATGAGGCTCCAAATTTTCCAATCCAATTGCCCGCCGGTTGTTCTTCTTCACCCTCACACCGCCGGCCCGCTTCAATCGGCAGACAAGATTCATACGAAGCTCATCTTTCAACTGTTCTTTCGGCGCTCCATTATTCCCGAGCTCCATCAAGGCCTTCCCTCACTAGCACACATTGGAGTCAGCCAGACAAGAGCAAGCCGATGACCAATTGTACGGGGGTTGCTACCGAACCAGAGTTTTATATCGGCCCGAATGCGATGCTCAGCGTACCCGATCTGACAACGAATCACACTCTAAATCTTCCTCCTCGCAACGCGGTTGTGGTTTATCCGGTGGATGATTATCTACGCCTTCGTCATGAGGAGTTTGTTTCAAGCACGAGATGCTTCTATCCGGATCCGGATCTTGAGCAGGATCTCATCAAAATATACTTTCAGCATTTCCATCCAATTGTGACCATATTACACCCGACGACTTTTTACAACCTGCATAATTCTGGGCTCGCGCACACTGACCCCTCGTTCAGAGCTCTTTGTCTGCTCATATTTTGCATCGCTAGCCGATGGTCGACTGATCCCAGAGTTCTGCTTGACTTGACTGGAAGGCCACAGTCGTCTCGACAATTTGCGGGCTTGCGTTATTCATATGCTGGTTATTTGGGTTTATTTCGTCTCGGCAATCATCGCCCGACTCTTTTCAACTTGCAGGCGTTTGTCCTCCTGACGCTCATTTCCCTTGGTTCAGACCAACCCACGGCCACATGGGTTTTCGCTGAGCAGGGCCTCACATGCGCTCAAGTACGCAAGGTTGATCAGCAGCCGTCCGGATCGCTTGTTGCTTGTTTCTCATCATTTTCTTTTTCCACCCCATTATCAGGAATGTGGTGCCCATCGTGAAGTGCATCGTCGATGGAATGCCGATCCTCTTGAAGACTATCTTCGGCGTCAGGCTTTCTTTCATCTATACGAGCTGGGTCACAGAGCTAGTTCTTCTCTGAATAGAACACCTTTAATGCAAGAAGAAGACTTCGACGTTGGTGAGCGATTCTCTGCTTTTAATGGTTTCTGATGATCATTAATGTTCAGGTCAAGCTCTATGTGGATGGAGGTCAAGCAATCTGACAATGGCTTGGGATCCCCTTGTGTTAGAGCCATCCCGTTTACAGCCTGGAGATCCGCTAGGGATCTTTGTGAATCCATACCATACAATTATGAACCCAGCTGCGCATGAACTCTACATTGCATTTGACGAAGTGAGAGCACTAGTATGGAGAATTGGGTCACTCAGATCTCTGCTACCTCTTCTACACACGATGCAAGCTAATGCGGAAAGTTCAGGAGGAGCTGCATCAGTTAAATCCTTAGAAGCACTGGTTGACCAACTCGATCTTAATGCGAGAAAACGGTTTGATCAAGTGTCTCCAATTTTCAAACGTCCAGATGTTGAGGGGTGTCCGGAAAGGCTAATGTTTTCGGTGCTGGTCATCACGTGAGTGGGTTTCGTAAATTTAATGTGACTGTTTAGGGGGTCTTGAAACTAAGATCAATGCTGTTTTTCTCAACAGTTATTATCATTCATTTCAAATGATGATTCACCGAAATTTATTCAATCACGAAGGCGACGACGCGTACTCACGTCCGATGCGCAAAACCTCGCACATCAACAAATGTGTCGAGTTTGGGATTTCGTCTATTCAAGAAATCAATAAACTTCGGCTCCGGAATCTGTTGACCAGTGCATTTTTTTGGGTGCCAAGTCACCTCATCTTGGCCGTTATTATTTTAGTTTGCTCGATCAGGAAACAGAGGAAGTCAATCAGTCCCCATGAAAATCAAATAAGACGCGAAAACATCCTCCTGGCAATTACGATCATGGACGATTTAGCCCCTAGGTAAGCGCTTGCATTTCTACATTCTGCTTTCCCCTCAGACCTGCAAAAGAATCAGGGGAGGAATATCTTAGGATTAGATTAGTGTGTAGATGTACGAATATCAGACTCATGCTAATGGATTTCATGTACCGTTTGTTATTCACAATTTTTTGGCAGCACCCACCTGGCAGCAACATATAGCAAAGTATCCAAGATATTTGTTGACTTACTGGATGTGAAAAATCCATCTGTCTTACAATCCTTAGCATCTCCACCCGGGCAGCACGGTCATCACACCTATGGTTTAAATTCATACCCGCCCCCAAATTTCCCTATGATTTCATCAATGTTCCACAGTGTAGATTATGAAACTCTTGCTCAGAATCAGAACCCTACAACCTCTGATCATGACAATGTACATCATGTTGGCTTAGGGGGTACACCATTGGATCCATTGGAAGTGTCTCTGCTCACTTGCCACGTTGGTGGTTTCAATCAGAGTTTCTTCAGCACTCCTGATCATCCTCTCTAGGCAATCACTCTCTATAATGTTCCTATATCACACAAATGGCAAAGAATGTTGTTTGCATGGTTCTGACTTTTGATCTTAAGTCTGCTTAATGTAGTATTCATTGGTTGACTGTCAAAAAATGTTTCAGCTGTTTTGCATTCTGAACATCTTTGTATTCTTTGATTTGTTCATCTTTGTTAGCTGTATACTTCTTTTTTCTTTCTATGTAGTGGATTTTAACTTTTAAGGTACTCGGTACGCTTTCTTGTCCATTCAGTCTACAGGGGGGATTCTCAACCCATACAGCTGATTTATCTTTTCTTACATTATTAAAATCACCGATATCTCATAGCCACTTTGCTTTTCCTTAACTCGCAACTAACATTTGATCTGCACATGTTCTGATCTTTTGAAGAAACATCTTGCCTGAAAATTAATTGGAATTCCAATTTAATCTATCCTGTTTGACACCACCATGTTTGGAGCTTTGCAAAAAAGTCGTGGGTGGGTTTGTGATACATAGCTTTGTGTGCTACTGTCTAAATAATGAGACTTGTCTTAAGCCAAACGATTTATATCTGTGTATTGAAATGCACACTTCTCCATCTCACATTGGAAAATGGAAAAATCTATCCACATGCTTATCCCATAATCCAAGCCAAGTTGAAGTGAGAGCACCAACTGCTCTGAGTAATATGCAATTTTCTATCAGCTTATATGAAATTGGGGCTGTAGAAGGTGTCCTATTTTTGGGAATCAGAATAACTTGGGAATTGGGATATAGATTCAGAACAGAGAATTCCTTTTCATCTAGAAAAATACCTATTACCATGTGTACAAGTACCCAGAAGCCAAACCAATGAATGCTAGACTGTGGATTTGGCTTCCCCCCCCCCCCTTGAGTTTGTTGAGGATTCCTCAGAGGAACCTGCATCAAAAATGAAAGGAAACATTCACAAAATATATCATAAGCATATTATGGTGTTGCAAGCCTGTCTGGGCACACACCAAAGTGTGGCCAAAAAAGGCCAAGTGCTCTGGACCAATCCCAAAGCCTGCTTGGCCCATCCTAAAGCATATGTGGAACCATCCCAACCCCCGCTTGGCACATGCTAAAGTTGGCGGGGGTTGGGAGAAAGCCTAGCTTGGCCAATATCAAGCAAGGGTGCCACGCCCGCCAACATGCCGGCCCCCAAGAAGGCCATCTGCTGAGTTGGGGCCCAGTGCTGGGCTTGTGCACAGGGGCACCTGCGCTTCCCATTGGCCCAGCAGGACTTGGCCACGTGCCAAGTCCTGCCCCCCACCTATCCTGTCCAATCAAGTCCGATGGGCACAATCCAAACCCCTGGTGGGACTTGAGATTGTGCCCAGACAGGCTTGCAAGACCATATATAGTCATGGCCAAAAATTTTCCCCCTCATAAGTTTTATCATGGAACATTGGAGATCTAAAGGAATATTGTGGTGTTTCACAATAAATTAGATGGGCTGTATAAGTATGAAATATCACAAGTTCCACAAACAACACAAAGTCTTGATAATCTTTTCATTTTCAAACAGCCAAGTTTTAGGATTAAAAAAATGGATTTTGAGAACCTATCTGAAATCAGGAATGTCAGCTAGGAAGGATATTGCAAAGGAAGCAACAGCAGCCTGTTGTTCAAATGTGGCTTTTTTGTTGAGGAATAATTAGCGACATCAGGTGTGGGGGTTTTATGTGAAGTCAGCGTGCGCGTGGAACTATGTGTTGTGGTTTATTTCAAATGCTTAGATAATCACAGCTAGCGAGCTGTAGTCGAACTGGACTGTGAATTTTTTCTCTTTTCTTCTTTTCACTCAATCTTGTCAAGACTTCAAGGTTCAAGACTCAAACATCATCAAGTTCAAGAGGTCAAGAAGTCATCAAGGTATTATTGCATCTGTTTTGAACACTGCGACCAATAAACTTATTGCCGATAATACTCTAAACACACAGACGCATGAAAACACCGACTACATCAATCCAGGAGGAGCGACAATCAATCGAATTCAGGAGTTGTTTATTCGTTTGTTGTTTTTGCTTAGCTTTCGTGATTATATGTTGTTGTTCATGTTAACTAAAACATTATTTTGATGTTAGTTCGCTGTTCAAGGCTTATCTGGTTGTTCTTCAAGTAATCATCGCACTGTTTAGTCTTCGTTTTTTGTTGTTCTCAAAAGATGTTGGTAGTTTCTTTTGATGTTGTTGAACTTCTCATGTGATGCTTAACTTGTTATCTTTATTATCTTTATACTTTCTTCTCTCTTGTCAGTTTGTCTACTACTACTGTCTGTTTGATAAGATTTGCAATAAAGAGTACTCATCGTGTCTTCACATGGTAGCGAGAGTCAACTCTTGAATCAATCAGCAGCTCAGAGTTAGAGAAAAAACAACAAGTTGAGCTAAACAGGACCCGAAATGAGCAGCGATTCCGATTCTTCCGATAATAAGGAGTTGATCCGAATCGAAAAACTCACGCTAGTCAACTGGGTACAATGGAAATCAAGATTCACATTGTATCTCAAGAGTCATAAGCTGTACAGTGGGTGGACCGTTATTTTTGGCTGCTTGTTTTGGATCCCAGAGCTTCAAAGCACCAGATTGAAGTCATGAGACTTGGTCAAGGGGTGCAGAATAGATCACAAAAAATGAATATGAAAAAATAAAAACAAAAAACAAGGTTTCAAATTTTATGAAAAATAAAAAATAAAATTGATTTTTTTTCAAAAGCTTTGATATACATTTTGGGGAAGTGTGAGTGCAGAGAGAAAGAAAGAATGGGAAATGGGAAGAATGATTATAAATGAAAATTCTGGAAAAAGTGGTTACCAGATAGTTTTAACCAATTGTTGAGTGGGGCATTCACCAGCTCACATTGCAGTAAAGCACTAGAATTTACTGTTTTGACTCCAATCTGGACAACCAACCTGGCTCAACCTTTTTTGGTTCCAATTTTTTTCATTTCTAATCATTCTTTTCATTTTCCACTCTTTCCTTCTCTGAGCACTCCCACTCCCCCAAAATGAATAACAAAGCTTTTGGAAAAAAAACAATTTTATTTTTTATTTTTCACAAATTTTGAAACTTTGTTTTTTGTTCTTATTTATTCATTTTCATTTTCTGGGACCTATTCTGCACCCCTTCACCAAGTCTTGTGACTTGAAGTTTGTGCTTTGAAGCTGTAGAATCCAAAACAAGCAGCCAAAAATAACGGTCCACCCACTGTACTGCTTATTCGACGATGACTGGGTCAAAGATGAGAAGAACACCGATAAATATACGGATAAGAACTACAAGGCATTGAACGCGTTGTATGGGGCTGTCAGCAAGGAACTACATAACGAAATCCCTGAAAATGACACGTCGTTTAAGGACGCCTGGGATGCATTAGCTTCAGCGTGTGGACAGAATTTGGTAACAACAATTTGTGCTGCCTATTGAAAGGTGAGTCAGATGAAGTACCAACCTGGAACTTCACTAGCGGATCACATTTCGAATTTCAAAAGTGCATATACTCGCTTAGCCGATCAAACCGCAAACCACCTTCAAGAATTCAGCTGTCAGCTTGCTACTATGGCAGAGACAACCTGTCATAGCAAAATGAAATAAAAAACACATAAAAAATCTAAGAATAAAGTAAAATATTACATAAGTAAAAGAAACTAATTTACTTATGTAAATAACATAAAAACACTTAAAAATATATAAATAACAAGGAAAGATTAGAGAAAACTTTAATTGTTATTACAGATTCTGAATCTACGTACAATTTAACCTAGGGTACCTCAGCCAAAGGTACCCCTAATTGTAACTCCTTCATCCTGTAATACCCACTTAAAGAATTAACAGGTACCCATAGATCACGGGCACCTGAATAATTATGCATTATACATAACAATATGCATATACTCCAAATCTTGTCTCAGATTTGGAGTGTTGTGTATAGTTTGGAAGATAGAGCTGCGTGGCGTGTACTGTCTCCAAGCCCGCGCGCCGCGTAGTCATGCTGCGCATGGTTGACAGGCGCGCCTGACTACAAATTGAGCCCATGGCTCAAGCCCCCGCGCGTGCTAGGTAAGCCCACCCGCCTTGGATACATGCATAACCCCCTCTGGGTTACCAGTATCCAAGGAATGGGCCACAAGCGCCCTAGAATCCTCATTACACGTGACAACAAAGCCCCCACACGTGTAATAAAAATATAAACAAACTAGAATATGCATGAAAATACTACAGTAACCTAGAACATTCTATATTCCAAGTGGTAACACGTGTAGCAAGCCCCAGAAACCACCTCTTGGATATTCTGTGGCCCATTTCCAAGGAAATAACTCCACGTAACAGACTAGCAAGTATCCACAGGTTCCTGAGGGACATTCTTGGTTCAAATAAATTCGTGCAAGACCCCTGGGAACTTCTAGAACATTATCCCCAAGGTTTCAGCCCTTGTTGCGTCACCATGTGGGCTAAAATGGGCCACAAAGCGCTCCCAAGTCCTACTAAGCTCCCCTGAGCAACCCCTGAGGTCTTCCACAGGTATTTAAAGGGCCTTCTGACCGCCCAAATAATGATCCCCCAGCTTTACAATACCTTATAGAAATTTACTTACCATTTACAAGTCCCCTACACTTGTAATTAGCCTAGTTACTACTATAAATTACTGTTATTAAGCCTCAAGAACCCTCAAGAAACTCCCCAGTGATCACTCAGCACCCAAAATCCACCTTTTTGAGCGCTTCCAACTGCCCAGTTTCTACTCTGAAGATCCTCAAGACCCTACAGGATTATTACTAGTGAGTAATAACCCTTTTCTTGAGATTTTCCCTATTATTTCTTACTGGGATTTAAACCACCCCTGTTTACAGGCCCCAGTGTACCAGGTACCTAAATCCTCTGCTTTTTGCACGATACCTTTGAGGGATCTAACCACCCCTGATTTATCAGGCCCCTCAGGTTTAATTTATATTAATTTTATTAATATAAAGGGTCTTAGTTAAACGACTCCCAAATATTGGAGTTCCGACTCCCAAATATTTGGGACGTCGAGAGGACTGGCTGCGGACGGTCCTCTCGACGTCGATCCCCCTATATTTTTTTTCCCCCGAAAATTTGGGAGTCGGACCTCCAAAGGGTCCGACTATTTTGGGAGTCGGAACTCCAAAAAAAATAATAAAAAAATTAAAAAAAAAAGAAATCCCCCGGGGGGATTTGGGAGTCGTTCCTCCAATAAATGGGAGTCGGAACGACAAAAAACATAATAAATAGAAAACCATCAAAAATAGTAAAAAAACTATAAAATAAAATAAAATAAAAATAAATCCATCAAGACATTTAAAAATCCAACCCCATTGAATGAGGGGCCCCTTGAATAAAAGTAAAAATAAAACAGCAAAATGTAGTAAAACAGAACAAAATAAAATAAAACAAAACAATAAAATAAAATAAAACAAAACAATAAACTAAATAAAATATGGAACACAAGAAAATAAAATACAATAGTATTGTAGTTTAAATGATAAAAACTAACAACATAAATTAGAAAATCAAATGTAATTATGAGATACAAGAATTCAGGGAATCATCCTCCAATGAGAGGAGGAAAAATTGGCAAAAAGGAAATATCAGTAAAAACAGAGAGAAATGTATGCCCTCTTGAGCATATGGGAGGCAAAAGCTTCCTTCTTATTGGTTGGTTAAATGACCAAATATCATCAAAAGTAGAAATCACTGCTAATAATATTCAATTGATTGAAGAATCAAGCAAAACATGAATTTCACTTGCACTACTTAGGAGTTAAAACCCACATCAATGAAACAGAAGCAATAAATTGAAAGAAACAGAAGAAGAGTTAAAGGAGAGGACACAAGTAAAAGGAGGGGAACATAAGCAAGAAATTTAATCTGAGACAAAATATGGAGAAGGAGAGGGAGACATGAAGATTAAAATTAGTAATGAGTAGTCCCTGGGAATAAAATTTTGCGTCCAACAGTCAGAACATGACAAGCGGAATACTTCTCCTCCCACGGTAAAGCCTCTGGTACGGCGTCTTCCTTCCAATCTTTCATAAGTTGTGGTGCAGGAAAGTATACAGGGTCAAACATTTCCAAGGCGACAAAGTGATTGGGGACATGAGCAATGCAGATGGGGGGATTGTTGTTGGGGGGACAGAAATAAGGGAGAAAACTTAGAGAACCATGTAGAGAAAAGAAGAAAACGGCGGTCTCGAAGGCATTGGCCATAGCTTCACCAAAGGAAGGCATTGACATCCATTTGTCAACAGAACAGGGTTCAGGCGTGTCGACCTTGAGGCTGTCCAACATCTTGTCGATTCGATGGAAGATTTGCTTCTTGACATACCATTCCCTCCGGCTGGTGATTTCGGTGATGAGTCCCTCGCGGATCCGCATGTAATCACCCTGGTCTCGTCCCAAACACCACGCAACCGCTCGGTAGCCACAGTGACCATCGGATCTTGGGTTGAGGATGCTTTTCACTGAGTCCTTCATTATAGGTGGGAGATATTGGCGATAGCTGGATTTGTCCGCGTCATCTGGCTCATTTTCGTCACATGGTTCGGGAGGAGCTATGGCGGGTTGGTCTTTGGGGGGGGTTTGGACTTTGGCAGGGAGGCTTGCGGTTTTGATGGGTCGAATCTTCTTCTTTTGGGCTGTTCCTGTTTTGGTGGGCAGTGTTTCGGATTTGTCGGTCGTGGGGGTTAACACTTCATCCAAGTTGGCTGGCGGGGGAGCTTTGACCCGTGCATTCCGAGGAGGGAGGATCCTTTTCCTAGGTTCCGGACTGTTTTTCCTGGCCTCAGATGCCTCAAGCTCCTCCTCTTCTTCCAACGCCTTGTCTTCTTCCTTCTGTAATGCCTTCTGGTCAGCTTTTCGGAAGGCCTTCATCTCCGCTTTGATATTGTTCAGCTTCTGTTTCTTGGCTTTGACAGCTTCGCTCTCTTCTTTCTTCCTCTTCTTCTCGACATGTTCAAACTCCGACAGTTCCCGTTTGGTGGTCCTTGGTTTGTTTGTTGCGCCTTTCGGTCGTCCTCGAGTCTTCTGAGCTTCGGTCGGCAGCTGGACATCTACTACCGCCCCGGATCCTTCAAGCAGCTGGTTGATGGCGGCGATTTGGATTGCCTGCTGGGCTGGATTCATCGACCGTAGCCGATCCGTTATCTGCTCAATCATCGGGTTATCATTCTGGGTTGCCCTGGCGCTTGGGGATGGATCACGTTTGAGGACCTGAGGAGGGATTCATGTCAGAACCAAATGGAAACAGATGGGAAGAAGAACAAAATGGAAACACATGGGAAGAGATATGAAAACATACATTCATGTGCCATTGGAGATGGAAATCTTCCGGTGATACCATTCCTCCCGATCTTGAGATTTCCAAGAGTTGATGTTTGCAAGGTATGCCCATTCGAAGGACATATCGTTGATTGCAATGCGCATTTTCACCGAGTTTCTTCCCGGCCGTCAGATTATTGAAAGCCTGACTGAGTGCATAATTTGTGATCTTCCCAAGGCAGGGTCGGAAGATGCTGCCAAGGTATCGAAGTGTCGTGATCTTTTGCTGAAAATGGATGCTGGTGATCTGGTGATATTGCTCTTCAATGGCATTGCTGATGAGCTGGACCGCTGAGGCAAAAGTTTGTTGTGGCCCAAGGAGGTGAGACTTGATGAATGCATGGGCGGATTCCATTCGCGAGGTTGTCCGGTTGTTGAAATGAGTCACGGTGCATGTCCACGCATTGGAGTAGTGTTCGGCAACAGGTAACCAGGTCGAGGAGGCATATTTTTCAAAGTCTGGCCCATATTTGTGGGCCCAGCGGGAGAAACTAGCTTGAAAATCGGACCGGGTCGAAATCTTTACTATGTTCATCCAGTATTGAAGCATATCCTTTCGTTGTTCGTCTGTGGCAATGAGTTTTGCACCTTTGGCCAAGAGATTCTTCTGAATATGCCAAACACAAAGCATGCGGTGGGCGTTGGGGAACGAGGTTGCAAGGGAATTCATTAGAGCCTGCTCGCGATCCGTGATGACGACTGGAGGGAGGGGGATCTCGTTGCTTTGGAAAATGGTCAGAAGTGATTGCAGGGCCCAATCGTAGAACGGCTCGGTTTCCTCTGCCATGAAACAGAATGCGACACTGAACGTCTTGTTTGAACCGGTGATTCCAGACACGTGGAGCAGAGGCATGCGGTACTTATTCGTCTTATATGTGCAGTCGAGTAGGATGATGTGGTGGTATGCCTTGAGGAGCTTCAGGGAATCAGAGTGACAGAAAAAAAGCGCTTTGAGGTTACCTTCTTGATCTACTTTGGTGGCGGTGGTGAAGTTGGTGTTGGCCAGAGTTTTGTTCAAGTGAACAATCGGACTTATCCCTTGAAGCGTTTCCTGGCGAGCCTTTTTCCGGGCCGTGTAAATTGTGCTGACG